TGAAGCCTGTCCCCACCTCGTTCTCCAGCCTGGTCTCCAGCCCTACTCTGGCCCTTCCTGATTTGTTATTCTTCCTTGACTCTGCTTGCCTGTATTTTAGCTCCTGCCTTAGTTCTAGAGAGAGCTCTATGCTCGAGCCAGCTGGACACAAATCCCCTCAGCACGGGACTTGCTGACCTGCTCCAGCTCTTTCCCTTCCTTCTACGTCACCACTGACAAGTGTGGACTCATATGGCTGGTGTTTCCCCGAACAACACACATCAAGCTGAGCATGAGAGGGGTGCCACACTGGCTGGCTCTCATCTGTAAAGTTAGTTTCTGAACTGATTTTCACTCTTTCCTCTTCTCCTCTCATCTTGATGATCTCCTTACCAACTTGGCTATCTACTAGTCTTATCCTGGGACACTCCCTATTCAACTAGCTTGGTCCTCAACCTGCCTGCTCTGCGTCTCAGACCCAGGCTAACATTCTCACTCCTCACCTAGCACAATGGCCTTTTGTGCTTAGCTGCTCAGCATCCTTTGTTAGAGAGAAATCACTTCTTTCTTCGCACTCCTTTCTCTCTCTCTCTCTCTCTCTCTCTCTCTCTCTCTCTCTCTGTTGGTGCTCAGTCATAGGGTCTAGTCCACTGCCAGCCACAAAAGTTGGAATGGGGACAATCATACAATTCAAATTTGAATCTCTCTGACTCCAAAATTCAGCCAGTACACAATTCTGCCTCTATTGGTGAAAGTCAGTTAGAAATGGTTAGAATAGGATTGGACTGATAGGCTCTGTGTTTGAAAGAAATGAAGAAAGAGCCCATTGAGGACTGGAGATAATATAGTAGCCAGTGTCCAGTCCGTCTGGAAAGACCAGTGCGGCTGGTTCTCCACTGGAGTAACTTTGTGTCTTGATAGAGGCATCTGTTTGTATTTCCTGGTCAACTATAATCTCATCCAGGATCTGCTGCCGAACCACGCTGACGCTTCTAGAGATGAGCCCATGTCTGAACAACAGCTGTCATATAAAGAATCTTCTTGGGGAGTGATTATGCAGCTGCTAAATGACCTCCTAGAATATATTAGCACCGAAGGAACTTTTTTTCTGGACACATGCATGTAACAGTTTAAGAAAACTCAATATGAAAGATTTCATCAGGAAAAAAAAAATGATTAGTAAACTGGAAAGCGATTATCCACTTTTAAAACAGGAGTACCAGGTAATTCTTTTAAACCTGGAACAAAAATATTACCTGCTGTAATATGTTATTTTTCACAATAAAATTTGAGAATAACTCCCAAAAAACAAATGAGTGACTCCACTTATGGGAAGGTGGAGTGGATGGACTTTGCCCCTTTCCTCCCCTCACGTACAACCAAAAACCCTGGACGTCATATATCAAACAAGCATAGAAAGACTCTGACAGGGAGAGAAGAAGGCACATTGGCCAGGGACCCAGGGAACAAAACAGTGGTGAGTTCCCTGGGTTTTCTTTTTGCCTCCCGTATCTCAGACTTGGAGATGATGAAGCCAGCAACCTGGAAACGCCAACAGGCACACACAAAAAATCACAACAAAAGTCTGCTCTCTGTAGCCAAAGTTGTGGGAAATGAGCAGCCTAGCAAGATAAAGAGCTTTTAGACAATAACTGCTCTACTCTAACCGAACACCACAGACAAATCTATGGCCCCACCCCGACTTGTGTCGGCAAAGATCGATCAGAAAATGTAGACTGCCGCTCTCACCGGGTGGAACAAGGCCCCCTAACACTACCCCCAAGCTCCCCACCCCCTGCTAGGGTGGTGTCAGAAAAAGCCTCATAGGGAATCAGGTCTTAATCCTGCCAGGTGGTAATTAGGAATCCCTTCACAGTATCAGTAGGGGCCAGTGGGGAGCCTGGACTTTCACTCTGCTCAGAAGTAATGAGGTGCCAGGCCCCCGACCCAAACAGGTATTGTGTCAGAGGAGGCCTAGTGGAGAGTAAGGACTTTCCCCACGGCAGTAATGTGGCCACCCTCCCCATAGCATCAGTGGAGGCCACATGGGAAGCAGTAATGAGGCACTCCTACCCCTCCCAGTCAGGGAGATGTTAGTGGAGGCACAGCAGGGAGCTGGAACACTCGCCCCTGGCCAGCAGCAATGAAGAACCCCCTTGGGCATCAACAGAGGTCAAGTGGAAAACACGGCAGAAATGAGGCAGTGACCCTACCCCTCTCTCCTGGCAGAGCAACGTCAGAGGAAGCCAGCTGAAACAGACGCTTCAGTAAGATCCAGAATCTCATGACATAATACCCAAATGTCCAGGTTTCCATAAAAAATTACTCATTATACCAGGAACCAGGAAGATCTCAAACTAAATGAAAAAAGAAAACCAATAGATGCCCTCACCAAGAGGATAGGGATGTTAGAATTATCTGACAAAGACTGTACGGCGGTCATCATAAATATGCTTCCAGGAGCCATGAGGAACATGCCTGAGACAAATGAAAAAAGTGGAATGTCTCAGCCAAGTCGTAGAAAGTGTCAGCAAAGCAATGCAAAATATAAAGAATCAAAGAGAAATTTTAGAACTGAAAAACATAATAACTGAGATAAAAACTCAGCCGATGAGCTCAACAGAACAGAGAGAACAGAAGAAAGAATCAGTGGAGGATGGAAAACAGAAATTATTGGGGGAAAAAACCCAAAGGAACAGAGCCTCAGGGACCAGTGAGGCTAGGACAGAAGATCCGACACTTATGTCAGCAGAGTCCCAGAAGAAGAGAAAGGGGATTTTAAATTATGTCTGATGCTTGAAGCAAAGTTATAGCATTGTTTGATGTGGATCTAAATGTATGTAGAAGAAATATTTAAGACAATTTAAAAGGGAGAGTGCTAAAAAGAAATAAAGAGAGGTGAGATGGCTATGCTTCACTCAAACTGGTAAATGTTGACTTTAGTAGACTGAGATAAACTATGTATATAGAATGCAAAACCCAGAGCAACCTTGTTAGAGGATGAAAAGACTTGGAGAAAATATTCAAAATTTCATATTTGTGATATGATTTGGATTCAAAATATTTAAGGAATTCTCAAAACTCATTATAAGAAGACAAAAAAACCAATTTAAAAAACAGGCCAACTATTTGAATAGACATTTCACCAAAGAAAGCATCAGATGTCAAACAAACAAATGAGAAATTCAAATCTGAAAAATATCAAATGTTAAATAAGGACATGAAAAGGTTCTCAACATCGTCAGTCATGAGGGAAATGCAAATTAAATCATAATGAAATACCACTACACGCATATTAGAATGGCTAAAATCTAAAAAGACTGGCCATACCAAGTGTTGGTGAGAATGTAGAAAGCTGTAAATTGGTACAAACACTTTGGAAAAAGCTCAACTCTTTCGGGTTTTTTTTTAAAGATGGCACCTGAGCTAACAACTTGTTAGCCAATCTTCTACTTCTTTTTTTTTTTTTTTCTGCTTTTTCTCCCAAAATCACCCCAGTACATAGTTGTATATTTTAGTTGTGGGTCCTTCTGGTTGTGCTATGTGGGCTGCCACCTGAACATGGCCTAATGAGTGGTGCCACGTCTGGGCCCAGGATCCGAACCAGCAAAACCCCGGGCCTCTGAAGCGGAGTGTGCCAACTTAAGCACTCAGCCACGGGGCCAGTCTCTCAACTGTTTCTTAAAAGGTTAAATGCAGACCTGACATAGGATCCAGCTGTATCTATACCCAAGATAAATGCGGCATATAACCATAGAAAGACTTATTTACGAATGTTCATAGGAGCGTTACTGTTAACAGCCCCACACTGGGAACAGCCCAAATGTCCATCAACAGGTGAATGGATAAACAAGCTGGTATCAAATAAACTGGAATATCACTCCACAGTAAAAAGGAGTGAGTTATCGATGCACATGTCATATCAAGATGATTTTGCTGAATGAAGGAAGGCAGACAAGAAAGAGTGCATAGCGTATGGTTTAATTTATGTAAAATTCTAGATAATGCAGAAAGCAGATCCGTGGTTGTCTGGGGAGTGGGATGGGGGGCATATGGAGAAGGGTAGGAAGGAGGGATTATGAAGGGGCAAGAGGAAGTTTTTGGAGGTAATGAATATGTTTATTATCTTAATGGTAGTGATAGTTGCATGACAAATTTATATATATGTCAAAGTTTATCAAATTGTATGCTTTAAACATGCAGTTTATTGCATAACAATTATACAATGCAATCAGCTATAATCAAACCACAAAATAGCAGTAATGTAAAGATTTGATAGTTTTCAGTTTCTTCCAAAGTCACCATAGTTAAATTTTAACAGGTGACTGGCTTGAAGGAGTTCATATCGTTCAAAAAGTATTCTTCCTAAGCAAGTAAAAGTGAGTTTCAATTTGGGCATATAATGCTTTTTGGAAATTTGTTATAATTAAAGAAAGTAAATAGAAAACCATTTTTTTAAGGAAAGAAGGAAGTTTCCAAAATTAAAGAGTGAGATATCTCTATTTACAAAAGGATTTGGATACGAAACTTCCACTTGCACTCAGTTTCGGAGAAATACTTATCGCCTAAAGAAAAAGGATGTGTAGACAAAGGGGTCAGGCCGGCCCAGAGCAGCAGCCTGTGTCCATCAACATTATTGAAAAGGTTTGTGCAGATGTCTCTCAAACTTGTTTTCTAATTTAAAATTTTACTTTTGAAATTCTTTTATTAGATCCCAAAGTCCTATGCTTGTGAATAAGTGGATTTATTCACATATATATTGAGCTGCTTGTGAAATCTACTTTGCATGTTCATACCATAAGAAGGTCATAGTGTTACTTTTAGTTACAACATCAACACAACTCTGCTGTTGATGTTTCTTCACGCTGAGGCACTGTGTGCAGCCCTGAAGCCATGCACTGGCTGCCTTACCTGGTTCTGCCAGGGTTTCTAATCATCTAAGAGGGAAGGGTTTTCTCTAAATCCATCGCTATTGTAAGACAAACCACTCCTGGCGCTGGTGGGGAGTCTCATTGACTTACTAGGCAGCGGTGATAGGCAGCTGAGGCTTCCTCAGGCAGAAGTCCAAACAGGAGACAGAACCAGTCCAAAGCATTGGCAAATAAGCCTTGAACTAAGATAGTGTTTATGGAAAGAAAGAAGGTGGATCCTGGCTGCAGTGTGCAGGCAAAAGCAGTTGTTGGCTCACTTGAGTGTGCTCGTCTTCTAGACCTGCTGGGACTTCCGAGGCTGGAAGAGAGAAAGAGAAAAAGCTGGGAACTGCCAGGTCCAAGACTAGGGCACCGAAACTGTCAAACAGGACTGGCCCATGATGGGAGCACGGAGCAGCCTTCAGCATCCTGTCAATTAGAAAAGGCTCCATGTGCTAACAGGCCGGCATATATATCTAAGTAGAACCCTTTGGGCAGAAAAAGCAAGATCACAGGATTTTCTAGAACAAGGGTCAGCAAATTATGGTCTGTGGGCCAAGTCTGACCCATGACTTGTTTTTGTAAATAAAGTTTTACTGGGACACATGTCTGTTCATGCTCCGATGGCACAATTGAGTCATTGTGACAGAGACTGTAGGGTTTACAAAGCCAAAAATATTTTCTTTATGGCACTTTACAGAAAGTGTTTGGCAACCCCTCTTCTACAAGATGGTGAGGCATGGCGTCAGCATGTGGTCCCAGGTGATGTGTTGGGTTTGGAGACACACCCTAGGCATGGGCTGAGTGGAATCCCTGAAAAGAGGGAAATGGTAAGGTCTAGGCAAGATGTCAAAACCACAACTGAATGGTTTAAAGTTCAGGACCATAAGTACAGGCAGAAACCAAGGCAGAAGCTCAGTTCTACTGACAAACAAACATGGTGGGGCTAAAGGCAAGAACGAGGCTTGGCAGGTTTGTCAGATCCCAGCTTACCCCAGTCATGGAAAGTACCAACTTTAGGACAGCAAGTCCAATTTCAGCAATGTGCTGGTGAGTTTGAACCAATGGTCAGTTTGAAGTGCTCAGAGCTGAGCAGAGTGGGGAAGACAGAGGCTGCCCCAGAAGGAAGGACCTATCAGGTCCAGACAGCCTGAATCTTTCTGCTAGAAAGTAGGAGGGTGGTGCTCTCCTCTCCACTCCCCCTTCAGGATGCTAGCTTATCACCGTCATCAACCCACGGTGATGAGATTTAAAGGTCTCCTGAGGGGGGTTCCTAGACTTAGCAAATCAAAATACAAAACACTGAGTTCAGTTTGAATTTCAGACGAAGAAAAATTTTAAAATAACTATGTTTGAAATATTACATTGGACTACTTATACTAAAAAATTATTTGTTATTTGAAATTCAAATTTAACCGGAGTCCTGCAGTTTGTTTGGCAACCTCATTTCCAGGAAACTAGCTATCGTTGTGATAAATCTTGACTAAAGTAAGCAACGTTTTTTTGTTTGTTTGAGGAAGATTAGCCCTGAGCTAACTGCTGCCAATCCTCCTCTTTTTGCTGAGGAAGACTGGCCCTGAGCTAACCTCCACGCCCATCTTCCTCCACTTTATATGTGGGATGCTGCCACAGCATGGCTTGACAAGCAGTGCCATGTCTACACCCAGGATCTGAACCAGTGAACCCCGGGCCGCCCAAGCAGAATATGCGAACTTAACCGCTGCACCACGGGGCCAGCCCCACTAAGCAATGTTTTGACTCCTGGGGAAGCAAGAAATTTCTAGTCCTTTGGTTTCTTCTCTAGTCCTTTTTGCTTCTCCCTCCCTCCACATATAGACTTCTTCTTTCTCACCTTCCTCCAGCTCCTCTCTACCACTTCCTTTCCGAGGGCTGTCCAGGAGAAAGAACCAACCGCAACCGCGTCTATCAACCCTTCCAAGAATTATCATATGGCTTCAACTGCCGTTGATTAAACAAGAAAAGGGCTGAAAACTGAGAAAGAAGAAGTTACTTCTTAAAGTGACTCACAGGAAGGAAACCTGATGAACAGACAGTTGGGTGACTGGCTTCTGACTCATCGGAGGTTTCTGTGCTCGAGATTTGTAGCCATCTCTTACTGTTAGTTTGCTATCACAAACCACTGAAATTGCCCTGACAGCACACAGTCTTGGTAAAAGACTGGGGTTTAGATTAACCTTTGGGCACTGCTGACTGCAAACACTAAATTAAAGTGGACATTTTTGGGATTTACAGAAAGCCTGTTAGAGAAAAAGAGAAGTCTCTGTGAAGGGCCGTGCTCCTGATTTCTGAGCATCTTGCCCGCACTCTGTGCTGTGAAGACGTCCTTAGGAGAGGCCCACGAGAAGTCAAATCTGTGCGAGTTGCTCTATGCTGTGGTCACACAGTGAAGAGGATGTGGGCTAAATCTATGCTCAGTGATGACTTTAAGAGCTCGGGTAATATGTAAGATACGTAGAAAATATTAAATGGATATGATCAATCGTTTCTCCAGCAGCCTTCCCACCACTGTGGCAGTCCTGGAGGCGCCCATGCAGGTCTTCCCTCAAGAAAGACCTTGCTGTTCAGCTCTAAGGAGGGCAGTTAGTTTACAGCCTCCGGCTCTTGGCACCTTAGGATCTGCCTCATCTCTTGAGCTGTGACCGTGCTCTTCCTGGGGCAGCCCCAGCCAATGGCTGAGCGCAGAGTGGGTGCTAGGCCTGGCTGTTTCTTTTCAACATGGGACTCCTCTGATGAGCAGTCTTTGTTCTGGAATTCCCCTCTTGGTTGGCCAAAACTTTCTGAGATCTGCACTGCGGTCTGAGGCTCTCCCTGTCCAGTCCTGCTCTCTCCCTCTTTTATCTTCACAGATGTTACTCCCCAATAAGCCTCTTGCATTCTTCGTTCTGCCTCAGTGTCTGCTTCTCCGAGGGCACACTTGACACAACCATCAGGACTCCAGGAAACGGGCAGGCCAGGTGCCACGCTAGCAAGGAAAAAGATACTCTGAGGGATGTGTTCTTACCAGAAGGGAAGAGGGAAAAGAGCACACTCCTTCCTGTCCAGGAGAGCACAGGAATGAGAAGAGAGGTGGAGGCGGCATGAGACACTCCCGCATCAGGTCTCATCTCTCCTCTTACTTGGAGCCAAGCCTTGCTGGGAGAGGGAACCACAGAAGCGTTCAGAAAGGCATGGGAGACGAAGAGTATGGAGGCAAGTGACCTGCTTTCCCACACACAGCCTGGAGGAGGCTGAAGGCGACTGGGGGAAGCCCCACGTTTGTTTTGGCACCGTGTCTAACATGGCTTGAGTGGGACGGTGCAGCATTAGCAGATGGAAGGACCTTGGTAGATAGTGAGGTGACGTCTCCGTCTGTTCCCACGTGCCCTGGTGAAGGTCAGGGAGGTTCAAGGGGGACCGCTGGAAATGCAGAGGACCGAGGCTGGGAAGGAGAGGCCAGCGAGATCGCAGTTTGATTTCCAGAGGCAATGGCAGTATCAACGTCCCACGGCTACAGATGCCATTGCATGCCGATGGACAGACTAGACCAGGACACCTCAGGGATACCAGCACGGGACTTAAGCCAGCCCAGACACACAGCAAGGGGGCCCCTCAAGACCAGAGGTCACCATGCTGATTTCCACACCCACGGCCACATGGTAATGACGCCCCCACCAACCAGAGCCCCGGGAGCTAACATCAGGAGACCAGGGGATAGTAGAAGAGGCCGAGATATGCTGACTGACCGTGCAAGTGTAGTCTTTTCCTCCATGCTCCATGGGGGTGGGGGGTGCAAGGAAGATTTGTTGGAAAACAAAAGAGCTTCGTATTTTTGCGTGTCTGAGAGTGTGTGAATCAATTAGTGACACCACTATACTTATATAAACCATTCTACATTTTGAATTTTATTCCAAGCTCTGGAGTTAAGGAGGCTCTCTTAAGTTGCATCCAAATAGCAACTTCCTGCAGAGAACCCCCACAGGCTGGATAAATTACAGCATCCATGCGTGGCGAACGTTTGGCTTCTCTCTAAACCACATTTTCCAAGGGGTGGAAGACAAACCACTGGTGATGGCCAAGATGATTTTAGGTTGTATGTGAACACCGTTAATTAACACTGAATCACACCCAAAATGTCCCATTTCCAGTTTCTCTCAGCCCTTCTGATCACGTAAGAGAAAGTCTTGGTGGTGCTCTCATCTCTAACCTAGCTAACACTTTCCCATTCCTCTGACTCGCTTTTTTTTTTTGGTAAGGAAGATTCACCCTGAGCTAACATCCACTGCCAATCTTCCTCTTTTTTTGCTTGAGGAAGATTAGCCCTGAGCTAACATTTGTGCCAGTCTTCCTCTATTTTTCGCATGTGGGACATCTCCACAGCATGGCTGCTGAGTGGAGTAGGTCCATGCCCAGAATCCAAACCTGTGAACCCGGGCCACTGAAGCGGAGCGCACGGAACTTCAACCACTCGGCCACAGGGCCAGCCCCTCCAATTCCCCTTTTTAACAAAGTGAGAGCAAACTTCAGGTGCTGAGTCTCAGCAGCCCCCCGCCCCCATCTATTCTCCGTGAAGCAGCCACAATGATACTTGGACAGAAGTCAAAGCACGCCACCTCTCTGCTTAAGACCCTCCACTGTCTCCTCATTTAACTTGGAGGAAAAGCCAAATCCCTCAGTGGCCCTTAAGGCCCCACTTGACCTGACACTTCACAGTCCAGCCCCTCAAGCCCCGCTCCTTCTGCTTCAGCCACAGTGGCCTCCTGAGCCCTCTCGGAATGTCGGTTCTCCAGATCTGCCAGAGGTCACTTTCATAGTGAGGAGTTGCCTGGTTATCCTAGCCTGGGTGGCAGATCCCTTCCACACTCTGTCTTCTCCATTCTGCTGTATGGACGTGCGTATGCACAATATGTTTTACTTATTCGTAATTTTCTGTTGGAATTTTGCCATTTTTTAATAAATTTGTCGTTTTTATTTCCTGCCTCTCTCGTGTGAATGCAAGCTCCATGAGGTCAGGAATTCCTGCCAATTTTGTTTACTGCTGTAACTGCAACCCCTAAAATTGGGCCTGGCATATACTGGATGCTCACACAATGTTTATTAATTGAATACCTGACTTCTCAGCTTGCTCCTGGTTGTTGCTGTCAATATCATGTCTTCTCTCTCTCATACTTCTTTTTGAATTCTCCTTCCTTTCGGGCAAAGCAAATACAAACAAACAACAACACAAAATACACGATGCTATTAGTACCCCCTTCCCAGCTTCATGGAAATTCTGAAATGTATATATATATATGGGATGTGGAGTGTTGAGGGAAGAGACTGGAGAATTCTTGACCTGGTTGGGCCCTGCCTTTCTCCCAGCTCCTCATTCATCTTCCCTCTGGTACTTGCTGCTCACTCTTCTCACATTCCTGCCTGGGGAGTTCTTCTCTTCAGTGAATTGTGGCGTTTGGGCTGGGAGGGTTGGAGCCCACAGGCTCCGCGTTTCCAGCATCCCCTCACTGACAGGGTGTGTAGCACAAGAAACACATGTGCCAGGCTGTTTCTTCTGAGGGCCAGAATTTGGAGTCACTGTTACATTGCGTGGGATGATAAGTCACACACACAAATCTAGAACTTGGGAGTGGAGCAAGCTGGCCCAGCCCCGTATGGATGCCTGATCTTGTTGGCACTGCTTCCTCCTGTCACCACAGCACTGTGTCGGGTTACCAAGGAGACAGGAACGTTCTGATGATATGCTCCCCAGAGCGTGGGTGGCAGCAGACAGTCAGTCATCAAGGACAACACCCTAATGCTTGGCTGCGCCCCTCCTCCCACACCCCAAAAGAAGCCACACAAGGAGCTGGAATTCCAGGGGCTGCCTTTGGAATTCAAAGCAGGGCTTGTCCACACATACTCTCTGGTCCTCTGTGCCTCTTAAGGAGATTCTTGCTGTTGGATCTGTTGGCTTCTCTAAGCCTTGGGAGTGTATTTGTGTTGTAAGAGGACACCTGGGTTTTTTCAAGGATCAGAAGAGATTGGCGGCTGAGCTCACCTGCTGTCTTATGGATGTAAGGCTGTGAGACAGGGTCCTTGATCGTTACGGAGGCCCAGGTAAATTGGAAGGAGAGGTGCCAGAAGCAAGATCCTTAGGCCCCAAGGTCTGGGATTCCTCCTCTGAGCTCGCCGGCCTTCAGCAGAACAAAATGCACAGCATGGAGACGTCCACCCAAATTTGAGAAGGAACAATGCCGTCTACCGGCGAACTCTGATGACGAGCTGGCTCCGTTTCTACGTGCCAATGCCTCAATGAGACCACGATTTGATTTGACAAGCCTTTGGGAGTATACAGGAATTACATAATAATGCTACCAAACACGCTTAGTGCTTTCATCTTTACAAAGCTTGTCGTGTCCATTCTCATTCTGCTCCCCACATGAAGAGGGTTTTATTTTCCCCAATTTACAGATGAGAAAGTAATTCAAACTCAGGCCTCATGACCCTAAATGTGGGGT